CCTGGTGTCAGAGCCGGTTCTGTGGTGCTGCAGGGAGGGGGCACGTTGATCTCGTTTTACCACTGCTTGGTAAAAACACATCAGCTCCCGGCCTGACGCGAGCGGTGCCGTGTGTGTGTGCCCAGCCCCTCCGCTCCGCCCGGACATCTTGTGCTGCCCGCCGCGGCGGCCGGGCCGCCCCTTGCCTTGGCACCCTCGCAGCCCGACAAGGGGGGACTGGCTGCCTTGCAGGGTCCGTAGCAGGCAGGCGGCTTATAGTCTCTTCTCAAGGGCACAGCTGACGACTAAATAGCTAGATGGCTTTTTTTTTTTAAAGTTATGTATGCAGGAGATCTCGATACAAAAAGTTCTGGTTTGCATGCCTTAGATTTTTCTGATCTCAGTAATGTACAGTGCTGAAGGTAGGATAAGACCAGGGCATGTCTGTGTGTATTTACGCATGAGAGTCACTAAGCCGTTTGAGTTCTAGTTCAAATTGCCAATGAAATTAGTTTCTGGTAATTGTAACTCTTGCAAGAGCTTATAAACAGTTCTTGGTAGTTTTGCTGGTTACATACACATGAATGTAGTTACCAGGATTGTGAATTTCCATTGTTTGCCGCTGCCCACTGTTACCTCTGTCTTTGTTCCGGCGTGGCACATCTCTTGTTTACCAACTGGCCACTGGCATAGGCAGAGGAATAAAGACAGAGACCTTCTAGCAGGGCAGAAGGACCAAGCATGACAGATGCAAGGTGCATCTGTGCACCTCCAGGAGCAGCAACAGCATCTTACAATGTTAAAACCTGGGAAGTGAGCAAAAGTCCAGCCAAGGAAACGGGAGAGTTGTTTTTTCTCTCCAAAGCATACAGAAACCATTGGATAATAATTTACAAAACAAGTGCAAGGGAGAACTAGGTAGATGTTGTGGTCTTATTTTTCTGCTTGGACTTAGGAACTTTGAAGTCCTTTACACGGATGAGCATATTAACTTTAAATTACATGGAGCTGCAATTTCAAAACAGCCTGGAGAGTGACCAGTTTGTTCTATTCTCATGCAAACAGCAATCTCAAGAGGATGGTTTTCTTCATTAAGGAATATACTTAAACACAGTATGACCGTACAATAAAAACCGAATTAAATAACATTCGAAACAGAAACCTAAGATGGATCATTTGGGTTTGTGGTTTTTTTCCATTCCTACAGTGATTCTAAGACATATATTCTTAGATGTCATGTTCATTTTTTAAAAGTCTGCTTATTTATATTATTCACAGTGCTACTGAATTTTACAATTGTCCTGCATAACTGAGTTTCGTAGACATCGTCTACCACCTCCACTTTTAAAATAACTGATTGTTTTAGAATATACTTTATATGCATTTTCAGGAAAGAGAAGATGCAGCATATGCAGATATTGTTCCCAGTTGAATTACTGTGTCAGAGAATTAAATGAAGTATAACTGAAATTGTCTCCTATTACTAAGGTATTGCTGAAATCCTAATGAACCGACCCCACGCAAGAAATTCATTGGGAAAAGTATTTGTAAATGAAGTGAGTATGGGCCTGGCCTGTAAACGTGTTTGGAATCATGATCAATAACTAAATGCAATAAGAATAGCTGTGGGAAATCTGAAGCAAAAACTTAATCTCTTGCTGAAGGTCAGTGGGAGACTGCACTGGGGCAAGGCAGCTTAGCCTGAAGAAAAAGAGATCGTCATGTGTCTATACTGCAGTAACTTCAGATGCAGACTGGACAGAGATTTTAAGTTAGCTAACTCAGATGCAAGTTAATGTCCTCACTTGCGTAATTACAACAAAAACGTACTCAAGTACAAGTCTGGCTCATGCCTGGACAGGAAGGGGAATTTAAAGTACAGCAAAGGTTCATATCTGAATGGAAGAAAAAAAGAGATGAGGAAACATGTCATTCTGAGGCTGTCATGGAAGGATCCTGCTGGCTCCATATATATATGATTTCCAGGAAATTCCTGGCACCTGCAGGGGAAAAAAAGAGAAACTTTTATCATAGATTAGGAGCTTGCTATAATTTAGCTATATACATCCATATGTGTAAAGTTTTTCTTCTCTTGTTTGTACTTCCTCCCTCATAGCTGTTCAGCGCTTTGGAACAACTCCGCTTTGATGAGAAGGTTCGTGTGGTGGTGTTCAAGAGCGAGGTGAAAGGTGTATTTTGTGCTGGTAAGTAACAAAGACACTGCAAACTATTGTTAAAAAATTAGATGGTTCTTAGGGCTATGTGCTGATCAGATCGTGCAGAAAAGCAGTTGGAAATGCATGCTAAAAGAAAAATGGGCTTGCTTTTGTGTAGCAAATGACAAACACGTTGTTCTGTCTTTCACCTGTCTGCCTCTTGACTTCGGTGATGAAGACGTGAGTGATGGAGTGAGCTGCCCAGGCTGTGTAGTGCTACTGTTTGTTTTCCATTTATAACCATGATCAAGCACAAGTGCCTTTGGTATCGGAGTCCTTGGTTTCCAGTTCTATGGATTATTGTCCTTACACAGAGCGATTGGTGCTGCTCTGTGAAAGCTGTTCGAAGGGCACAGAGGAGCACTCTAGCCACTGCTCCAGCCCAGATGTCCGCACTCCAGCTTCCACTGACCGTACTTAAGCAGAACACTGTATTTCAAGACTTCTGAAATGGTCTGTCCTCTTGAGAGGGACAGGAGGGAACACAGTTCACGTCTTTTCCCTGTTCCTGGATTCTAACCTTTTTCTCCTCTATTTAGGTGCAGACTTAAAGGAACGTGCAAAGATGGATGATGCAGAAGTTGGACAGTTTGTTAAAAGGCTGAGAAATCTCATGGATGAAATAGGTAAATGATTATCTCGGTTAGAAAATTTGTTCTAGACTGCCTGTACTGAGACATTGAGAAGTGCTGCAGGAGGGGAAGGATGCTAGCCCCAGCAGGTTATCCATTTAGGTCTAGCTTCCCAAATGGCTCCAGCTTACGCCTGAAACAAAGATCTGACTAGAATTAAATACCAACCATCCTGCTGCCACTCCAAGGACAAGATGCATTTCAGTACTGCCTTTTCCTTGACAAAGAGCAGCACACACACATGCATGTACCTAAGTACCTGCTATAACAAAGCATTCTGTGTACAGTTCTATGTAACCCTTGGGAGTCAGTGCTAGACAAAATGAGCTATGTTGGTTATCCCACTTTCAATAGTGCTCAGAGCCACTCATGATACGGCAATGACCTAAGAACATGGATTTGGATCTCTGAATAGATTTGCTAAATGAATGTGTTGAATATCAGGGGCTTTGTACCTACAATTCCCTCCCCCTTTTTTTTCTCTGAAAGAAATATGGACTTCTGCAGTTGATTTTCTTCCTCTATTTATGAATTATTCTGCTGTCACTAGAGAGGAATACCAAAGTGAAATCTGACTAAAATACCAATCAGAATTGCAGTAATTAAAAAACAAACCACAATGTATAGAGAGAATGACCCTGTCTCACAAACCACAGAAGCTATTCTGGGCGGGGGCTAGTTACAGCACAGAACTAGCACACATCTGAAGTCCGCTTCCAGCTCCTTGAGTATTTAAAATAGGTGTCTTATAAAGCAGCTAATCTCCAGGTACCTCAGATTGCTCAACTACGAGGTGACAACAGTGTTTACCGAGTTCAGGAGCCTTGGCTAACAGAAGCACCAGAAAAGCTAATCCTTGTTACAGTGACTAGGGATGGTGTCTTTGACTGTTTAACTGCCGTTTAGCTGGATATTGACATCATAAATTTGCAATGAGACAATTCACCCTGTTTTGTGTTGCAGTACTTTGTATTTGCATGCTTCTTTGCATATAAGAAGAATATTTTGCATTCTTCTTACAAAGTAGGGAGAAATGCAGTTTGTACTGTTTAGAGACAGTCAAAGTTTGTGGCAGAAAAAAATGAATTCTTAAGCAATTTTGAATTTGAGAACTATTGAAAGCTTTAGAATTTAAGGATTTAAATTCCAGAAGTGAGTGGAACAGAACTTCTGGAACAAAACTGTATAATCTGTGTTGTCTTCTCTAGCTGCTCTCCCTGTACCCACAATTGCTGCAATAGATGGCTACGCATTGGGTGGTGGACTAGAACTGGCATTAGCGTGTGACCTTCGAGTAGCAGGTTTGTGTGTTGCTTAATACAGGATTCTTCTTGTAATCGGTGACTATATTTTAAAGAGAACTTACACTCATGAGAGCTGACTGTTAATGGAATCCAGCAAGCTAAGACAGGAACTTACACCGTTCAGGAAATGAGTAGGCATTTGTCCAGAAATTGTGAGATTTAGTTACTATTGGGAAGCAGTTTCCTTGCTTAAAAAGTAAAGCCTATTTTTAGACAAGATTGGAATTCCTTCAGAAAAACTATTTATTGGTAGAATTAAATAGTTATTATGATGTATATTGGATCAGCATTCTGGCTAGATATAACCTTCCCTACTTAAATCAGTTTGGACTGGAAGACTTCCTTCTTCCGTTTCCATTCCTCCATCCATTACATTTCATCTAGTATGGACCCAAGGTTCACTGTTCTAGGTAAAACTGCTGCAGTAGGGGTAAGCAGCCATACTACACATCCCTCATCTGATTTCAGATGGACATTGATTAGGCACTGTAGTATTCAGACTTTCTAGCTACCTGGAGAAATGGAGTTCCAGTTCAGCATTGACAGTTTGTAGTTTTATTAATCAGTTCAGTGTGGAAAATTTGTAGTTACACAGATCAAAAAGTAACTAAACCCTGTTTGTTTGGGTTTTTTTAATAGCTTCATCAGCTAAAATGGGCCTTATTGAGACCACAAGAGGGCTTCTGCCTGGAGCAGGTAACCTTCATTAAATCTTGTCTCTTGCTTTGTCAGCTGTATAGTTAAATATTTTGCCATTAGCGCACTTGAAGTGTTTTGAATGTAAATTAGAAGCAGCATCTTACAGTGACCCAAGAGATCTATGAATCAAGAGTTCTGTTCCAAGCCCTGTCTCAGACTTGCTGTGAATTTAGGGAAGTCCCTTTACACCTTTTCCTATTTATCAAAATACTCAAAAGGATGCTGAAGCCTTTCAGATGCCTTGCAAAATGTTGACATATTCAGCTAATAGTTACTTAAAGAAATATGATCCCCCTTTTTTTTTTTTTTTCAAACTTCCTTGTTATGTAAGGAGACAAAATACTATTGGTTTTTTGGGCATTTCTCAGAAATGGAAAAGGGTGTTTTTGCTGTTGTCATAAGGGGGAACCCAGCGCCTGCCCAGATGTGTTGGAATAGGTCTTGCAAAGGAACTCATTTTCACTGGTAGACAGATTGACGGACAGCAAGCCTTCTCAATGGGATTAGTAAATCACACAGTGCCACAAAACCAGGAGGGAGATGCAGCTTACCAGAGAGCATTAACTTTGGCTAAAGAAATCCTTCCTCAGGTAAGTGTATTATTCATGTAGTCAATGTCAAGAAGGCATTTCTGCTTCCCTTAAGAGAGAGCAAACAAACAATTGAAATTCTTCTCTATAAAAGTCTTGGTTCCTGATGTTTAATTCTCTTAACTCTGTCCTTTTGTGAATGCAGTTTCTGCAGGAACAAGTGTTAACATCCAGCTGCTTAACCCTTAGGACAGTTTTACCTCCCAGCTGCAGTTATACAGACCTGCAGGACACATTGAAACCTTGTACCATGTACATCTATTAACTGCAGATAATGCCAAATTGTTTTTTTAAAAATACTTATTAACTTACTTCAAATTCATATAGACTAAAAGGTCATTTGGAGCTAGAATAGTGATATAGTAACTACAATATTATGAACTGATGTGGCTTTAATTATTTTTAAATGTTTGTTGTGGTTTGATTTTTTTTTTTTAATAAAGGCTCCATTTGCTGTGAAAATGGGAAAACTGGCAATAAACAGAGGAATGGAGGTAATTTTTAATTACTATGGTAAAAATGTTAGAAGAGATGAGTTATAATCCTTGTTCAGACAAGGCATTTAAAACCATTTCAGGGGGTTTAAAGATTTTCTTTACAAACAATACATCAGGATTTTTTTTTCTACAGATACTGACACTGTAGTTCTAATACAGGAGTGAAGGTCACTCACTACAAGTGAATATTTATGGATTTGAGGGCTATGAAGTAGTTTTGAGGGCTATACTTCAGACAAATCTCACTCCTTCCCTCTCATCCCCAGGTTGACATTGCGTCAGGGATGGCAATTGAGGGGATGTGTTATGCCCAGGTAGGTTACCTTCAGAATGCATTCCTGAAAGGAACAACGGTACATTTTCTAGAGCCAGGTATTCACAGCATCCTCTTGTATTTTCCTTTCTATAAGGGAACACTAACAGCTAGGTCTAAAGCTTTTGGAACATACCTGACCACAGTTCCAGGTATCTATTTCAGAACATTAATTGTTGTCATGCATAGCTGCCGCTCTTGGCCTGCCTGAGACCAAAGTCCCTTCTGTCTAAAGTAATTGTATATTCTTAGTTTCAACAGTATGTTAATTATAGGATGAGCTTTCCGAATGGTTTTAGTTTTAACAAATTAAAAACCAGATTCCTCCTGTAGTCATTCTTTCTGACAAGTTTTGAGAGCATGCACCTTTCTCAGCTAATGGAACAATGTAACTGCTGTGCCTCTGAGTGTATTTTAAGATGGTAAAGTATTAAATTTATGGAAAACTGTTTTCCTGTCTAGTTCTCTGGTCTATCGTCTTTGTCTTAAATGCTTTGCTTGTGATTTACACTACAACCCGGTCTCTTTCTTTCACTAATTGCAAAACGTGGAAGGTGGGACTTAATGTGTCATTGAAAGAAAAGCAATGAGGTCTTAGACCACTACTGCCAAATTAGTGCTTAAAAACACATCAGACTCGTCAATGAAAAACATACTGTTTTCTTGTTTGTTTGTTTGTTTTTTAATGTAGAATATTCCCACAAGAGACCGTCAGGAAGGGATGGCTGCCTTCAGGGAGAAACGACCACCTCAGTTTATTGGCAAATAATGCTTCCTAGCTTCCCCTTGATTTTTTGAAGGCAAAGGAGGACTGAAGAGGACCCACTAATTTCTCTGGTTATGACTGCATTCTGTGTACTTAGCTCCTTGCCTTGGACTGCATTTCCCAATACTCCATTGGTCATTTTGCTGTATGAATTCCGAAATAAAGATTTAACTTTGTACAGATGATCTTTTTAAAGTGCATAGATCTTAAGTCAGTGTTACGGCTTTCAAACAGATGTCAAGTGAGGATTATGGAGAAGCTTTGGCTCACCATAAGCAAATTTAAAAAAAAAAAAAAGGCAGGCAGAAAACATGCTGCATCTAAACATTGATAAGAAAAAAAATTCACTCTGAAGAGAAAGTCAACTTACAAAGAAACAAAACCTTCCTAAGCTTGCTTCCAACTGATCAGACAGAAAAAAGCAGGATTAACACAGAACAATGGCGTTTCACCCCAGATCTGTTATGAATAGTGTAAAACACCGAGCTATCGCTCCAGCCAACTGAACTTACTTCTCTTTGGTATCAGTGCTTGAGAAAATGCAAGGCCTGTATGTGCACGTATATATGGCCACCATATCAGTCTATGCCAGACATCTCTCCCATCGCCTATTTTCATCTGTTGCCTGACTGGGAGGTCAAGTTATTTTCTCCCTCTGCTAAGCAGTTCTCCAGCACTGAGACTTGCCACACAATTCAGCTCTACAGCTTCTTACTTCTCTAGACTGGGGCTTTCAAGCAGAAGTGTATTAGTATAGTTAGAGAAATATATTTTTAGTAAATATGTTGGAGGTTATCAAAATATACTTGCAAAATGTGGCTTACCACATTGGAACTGGGCGTCACTTCATGCTGTGATAGTCTTGAAGCAAACCACAATTTCATTTGTGCCAAAGTTAACCAAACAATTCTGTCGGTGAGGAAACCTTGTACGTGCATCATCTGCTAAGGTTACCTATGTAAAGATCTAGGTAAAGCAGAGTCAGGATCTTCAGCCTTCAGAAAAAGTATGGCAAACGCCACAGGTGAAATACAGGAGTTAAAAAGTTGCTTCTAGAGTTAGTCTACTGTGGCAGGAACTCCTGAAGCCGCACAGGAATGTGAAGAGACCTTTCTGTAAGTGGCACATGCAAGTAAATTTAGTGTTTTATACCTTGTAGGCATTCAGACTTACCCGCTTAAAAGAATTCTGCTCACTGTTTGCCTGAAGCATGTGGGAACAAAACAAGAAGGGTATAGAAAACCATTTACAATCTCTGTGCTTGCTGATTGCAGAACTTCATGAAGTGACATCTTCACCAGTATCATATTCATTTTGTGCTGCATGTAGTAGTAGATTTTTTTTTTTCCACAGTTTTAAGTTAAGATGCTTCAGCAAGTTCTCCTGTTATTAGGAAAAACCAGTATTGTAAGGAAAGTTGTCATCTTTATTTTAAAATCTTGTAGCAATGGATTTATATTCATTCTATTAACACCAATTTTGACAAGTTTTGTGTTCCATTTCATGTAAAGGAAATTTCATAGCAGAAATCCCATAGCAGACATCTCAGAAAGGTGGTGGGTAAAGGCTTGCAGGCCATTTTTCATTTTTTTCACCAGGTTCATAATTCAAAGCTACTACCAATTTAATTTCTTTTGGAATCAAGAGAACTGTATATAACCAGATACACACATGAAAATGATGCTGGCCAAATTATAGCTTCCTACAAAACGCAATTGCACAACATTAATTAAATTACTGGATCAGTACCTTTTGAAGTTGCTGAAATACACAATAACTAGATTATTGAAGATTAGAGATGATGTTTTTATTCGAAGGATAGGAGTTGGGAGAGGGAAGGAGTTAAAAATAGTAAAATATGGTCATCATGAAGAAGCCATCCCCTGCTAGTAAGCTTTCTTTTTAAACTCAGTTATCAATATATTTACAGAAAAGTCTCTGAATATCAGTCAGTTGCCATGGAAATATGGAGACTAATCAGATAAACAAAAACAATACCTGAAATTAAATTGAATTTGAATAGACATGCAGTTTGCTTCCATCACTTGTGTTTTATCAGGCATCTGTATGCTGTGCAATATGTTTCATTCAACAGATCATTTGAAACCCAAAGGTAACCAAGAAAGAAGTAAGTTGTTACAATTAGCATCTTTATGTAAAATTTCACACTCCACAAAACAATGCAATTGACACAGGGCTTACACAGAACATTGGGTCATATTTTGCACTGTGATGACTTGGAAACATCATTCACTGCACAATACTGACAGAATATTTACAGAAAACAACAGAGCAATCATTAGTCTCTTATAAATAAGGTGACCAAATATCCTAGGCCTCTTATCAAGACACGCAATCCCCTTCATGATAAAGACAAGGCAGTATTTTGCTTTGATGACCCTTCTCCTTTCCCTATCAGTATTCTATAAACAAAAGATATCACACACAACCAAAAGTAGTCAAGAACAAAAAACCCTTCTTGTTATAAAGTTTGAAATCTCAAGCTTAGTTCTCCCTTTTAGTATTGTGTCTCATTTTAATCCTGTTTCTATTGCTTTACTTTAGCAGGTTTCCCCTTTCTCTGATGCAATGCCAGTCCGCACCTTACTAAGAGTAGGGAGGACTCAGCAGAGTTGAACTGCAAAAAGGCGTTGTTCTAGCAGCAAGGAGCACAAAAGAACGGTGCTTGCAGGCAAAAGGAAAAGGAAGCTGAAGACCCCGTTTGTGTTTAGAAGGGTTATGAGACAATGGACATTTTGGTCGCCTTAGTTACAAGTCTCATTGTAACCAGCATGCATGTACTTTTGTTTTAATCTGTAAAAGTGTTGAACCTCACAACCACACACAGTTCTATTCAAACACCAAGCTGGTAAACAGTGTTATGAACAGCAATCATAGGGATGAAATAACTTTTCTCTCCCACAAGTCACAAAACAAGATATTCCTAGAAGTCTTTTTCCAGATGTGCATATTGAGCTGTACAAGTCCCATCTCTTTGTAGCCAGCAGTAATCCTACAGGTACGACCAGCTCAAGCAGGGACCCTTTACAAGTTGCATATGCGGTTGCCATTAAAGTTGACATTCACCAAAGGTTATCGTACATGGTTCTGGGTACCACAGTTATCGGCAAATCACTTTAATGGTGACCACTATATTACAAGTTACTCCAACTACACACACATCAGAAAGGATTATTACAGAGACAATACTTTACACTCCTACACCTGCAGCTTTCAGTTTGGTTTATTTTGTTGCTGTTTTCTACACGGTGGTGGTCTCCCATGACGCATAATGTGTTTTTCCAAACTATCTAGGATGGCAATAGCAATCTTTTGGACATGTGGGTCAGTCTGGACGTTCTCCTTGATGTTGTATAAGTGCTGTAAACCACCTTCTTCAATTAGCATGCTACAGTATCTGGTAGCTGTAATAAGATTAGAAAAGGGAATTACAAAAAAAAAAAAAATTATGTAGGGTAAATGTAGCAGATACTGTAAACACTGAATCAAATCCACTTTTGTCTCCTAGACCAGGTAGCATTTAGGACACTCCCTGAAGTGTTTACAGAAGTGCATTTGTACTTTAGTAAGTGAGAACAGAACAACACAGTTGTTTAGACAGGACTCCGACATCTGTATAATCGGGTCTGTTTCCACATCTGTCAGCTGGAAAGTGCCTTGTAATATGCATGGTATTCTTTCTCTCCCCTTGCCTCTTCTACAGGAATTTTAAGTGAACATATATAAATTTTAAGAAATGGGAATCCGAAGTACTATAGTGTCTATGAGTATCTAGGTAAAAATACCAACTTTACCAAAACCCTCAGTACAGAACAGTTACCAAAAATTGTATCAGATATACCACATCATTTGTACAGGTTCATAGCGTGAACAGGAATCAGTTCATTCAAAAACAGGTTGCCAAATACTATTCATAGTGGCCTTTAATTAGTTATAAGTTGCTGTGAATGCCTCTTCAGGGATAAAATTACACTTTTCTTTTACTTGCATTATTGATTTTAAAAAGTTGAAAGTGCACCTAAGTCAGCCTCAGTGTTATTACATGCAGGGACCAGCTATAAAAAGTCATGTTTAATGTAACATGCAAGCTTCAGAAGTTGTTACAAAAAGGCCAGGATGACTCTAATGCAATTCATAGAGCATTACCTCAGCTCTGCCCAATTTCACCATTCATCTTGGTGAAGTAACACCAGAGTTGTTTAAACACTGACATTAAGTATTTCACTGGGGATCACATTTACTGCAGTGCTACTAATGGTTTAGTTAAGTTACCTCATTGAGGTGGGTATGATATAGAGAAACAGCAAAAGAAGGAAAAAAAATAAACAAGAAAAATCAATCCCATTAACTCCAGACTACTTTTCACCCTCATCTAAAAGAGGAGGTCAAAATAAAATTCATCTCTTCTCCAGGTCAAAAAGTCTTCTTGGTGCCAAGCACCAAATGCTCAAGATTTCCCCTCAAAATAAATCTGTGTCTTTCAGAATTAAACACGTTTTCCCTCAGAGTAGGTTATTGCATTTGCTACCAAACATTTGGTTTCTCTGCAACTTTGTCCAGAAGCTTCTGGCACCAACTACTATCAGAACTAAACTTCAGGAATACTGTCTTGATCTCAAATCAGGAGTACGCCATCCAAGTATTTCCAGCCTCTCCGTTTTACAGAGCAGTTATTCCCTGTCAATACAGACCTCTGTGGCATGTTGAAAGCTCAGAGGTTAGGGCAGCACAAAATAAACACTAAAAATAAATAGAACAAATAGGACCACACTAAGTTAACAGGGCTGAGGCTCAATGAGAAATTACCGAGTCTTAGTCAAAAACTGTTACCCAGAGTCTGACCAGTAAAACAACTTTGTCAGAACAGTCCTACTTCAACATGGGACAAGTCCTCACAGATCTCTGGACACTGTACCCTGGGAACAGAGGCTCATTACATTTATAAGCTCTATAAAGAGCAGGAAAACAGTATTTTATGTGCAATTATAT